ATGGAGCCTAGAACCGTGGTGCACACAGGTCCTCAGAGAATCTCTCTCTCAAGGAAAAAAAGCTCAGTATGTGGCTTGAGAGGGCACCAATCCAGTCAGTACCCCATCTCCTCGGGAGAAGCAGAGAAAGGAGCTTTGAATGCCTTTCCTCAGAGGTCAGTACCAACCAAGACTCTAACCTGTCTGAGAATTGTTACCCGTGTCAGTCATCCTAGAAGGGAGCTAAGGAGTCTACATTGCTAGGGCCAAGACCTCTTTTTTTTCATGGGAACAAATAAATGATCAGTTCTCAAAGATCATAGAATGCAGCTAAAATAATTTGGCTTGAAAACATTTCAAAGTGAGGTCAATAACTACAACCATAGAAAAATATTAGTAGCATAGGCATAATGCAATTGCCAGTGCATCCTTGAGGCTCTACCAGAGCAAACTAGTTGCAAAATGTATACCTAATTACTAAAAATTGATTAAATTGATTTGTTACTAACTGTAGGGCTCAGTTAAATAATATCAGATTAAAGAAATTTTTCATTTTAACACTCCATAGCTTTGAACTTTTCTGCTTTCGTCACTTAATAATAGTGCATAAGTAGATAATTATGGTCATAATAGAATTTCTAATAAAATAATAAAGCCAGCATGAAGGAATACGTTAACATTGAAGCCCAGATAGGATTGGGTTTTATTATGTGTCATAAAAGAGCAACAGATATTTGTGTTCATTCAATTTTCTTTCATAGATTTTTCAAGAATTTTGGTATAACCTAGTCTGATGAAACTGTGTTAAGTGAACGTGTTATTACGGAGGGGAAAAGATATGCATAGGCAAACCAGTTTCTTAGCTTTAGAATATAGTGGTTGATTTTGGAGGAAGAAAACATTTTTTTTCTAGTTATATTTAATTAGAAACCCTTATTTTCTGCCATACATTGACTGGAGGCTGGAGAGACCTCCTTGGTAGGTACCAGGTGTCAGGAGAGAGTCATTTTGCCATTAGTTATTTGCATGTGGATAATCTAGAGTCAATTAAGTTTTATTTATTTTTTAAGAGTTTGTTTATTTTGAGAGAGACCGCATGCCCCTGTGGCAAGTGCATGCGGGGGTGGGGGGGGGCAGAGAGAGACAGAGAGAAAGAGGATCTGAAAGAGGCTCTGCACTGTCAGGGCTGAGCCCAGCCAACCCATGAGATCATGACCTGAGCCAGAATCAAGAGTTGGATGCCCAACCGACTGAGTTACCCAGGTGCCCCTAGAGTCAATTAAATTTTAAAACTGAACATTTCATTTGGTCTGTATCTTTTTAACCATTCTGCGGATTAATGATATGAATTCTCCAGAACTGGCATGCTTTCCTATTGTAGCATCATCAAGTCACAAGATTAGGGTTGCCTTTTGTAGATATTATTGATTTCTGGGGAATTTTTAGGAAATATGTCATCATGGCTTATATTTGTACTGATGTACACAAAGGAAGAAACAATTGGATGTTTCTGGATTTATGCCTACTTTACCAAAAACCGTGTTTCTGTCCTCAAAATATTTAGCCTTATTTTCATAGAGTTATCAAACTCTGTGTCTAGGATAGGTCCCTAAATTGTCAAAGGGATGTGTTACGACATTTACAGAAATTAACTCCATAGATAGACATCCATAGACAAATAGAAGCTTCTTGTCACCCAAAATATTTTTCTAAAGCCTTTGGTTCCTCCTACCAAATTTAATTCAGTGTTAAGATTTGTAGGTACTTAGTCAAATGTTTGCATGCCCACAAATAGTAAATAGATAAACACAAATTGCAGCTCATACTGTAATTGTATTTTTTTAAAACATGCATGGGTGCCTAGCGTTGCTTTTGTATTATATACACTTACTATGGTAATAGCTTCTAGTGGATAAATTGTCTCTTGTTCAATACGGTTACATAAAGATTTCACAGTGTTTCACATAGATAATGATGGTTTAAGGTCCTTTGTCCCTTGGATTGAGTTTTAAAATCATCAGTGAGTTAAAAGATTCATCAGATCTTGGTATCTGTGAATGGCCAAGAATTAAGACATTCCCATGTAGAGTTTCTTTTCCCAACTAAGGCAGAAATGGTTTTTCTGAAACCACTGGGGGAATTGGGAGAAAAATATAAAGAGATGATTTGTAGCTTTGTTAAATGTTCTCTTCTCTAATTTTCTGTTGCATTCTGATGAATTCTGTAGCTCTAATTCTTATAAAGTAGTGGGCTGAAAGTTGGGATCATCCAAGTTACTCAAAATGTGCTATTCATGGATCTGTTGTCCTGGATGGTGGTGTTTTAAACATCCAGTGTTGGATAGTTGTCTATGAATAGAGTTTGCCAGGCTAATATATAAACTTTTTTGACAATGAGAAATGTAATGTGAAATTTAAGGTTAAGTATAGTATAGAGATATTTTTAGAGTTACTACTTTTTCTAGCTGTACATTAGGGTTGAGAGGTCAAAGTACAGTGTCAGGGAGAACCTTTTCCTTTCATGCATGTACCTGGCATTTGTCACCTGAAAAAAATGTGCTCTTTGCTTAAGAGGCTGTGTGCCTCCTGTCAGGGTCATGTGGTAATTTTATCAGCCTTAGTCTGGGGTATTTCATTATTTCCTTTTCTAAGGTTATGCTCAACCTAGCATTTGTGCATTTTATAATTAAATTTACAGTAAACTCAACACTAGAAAATAGGCATACTTATTGGAAAATAGATGGGCTCAGTTCCATAGGTTTCTTATCCGTCATTTTTTTTTTAATGTTCAAAAGCTAGGATTGACTTCATATCTGTAAACCTATGTTTTGCAGGCAAGAAAAACTAATTTCCGGATAGTTTAGTTTCTCTGGATTATGTTAGTCACAATTTCATAAAATCATCAGAGTGCTTATTATTTTTAACCATGCCTCATATCACTGAGAACCCTCAACAGAGTTCATAGTATGAACACTCAGATGAAATGAAGCAGTGGTTCTTGGGGAGGTCACAGGAAACAGTTCTAGACTCATAAACTGGCTCTGCTGCAGCAAAGAGTGGCTTTGCTGTCACGTTGCGTGTATTTGCTACTGTGGCTGTTTTACAATGGCTGTGGAGGAACAGATTAGCAGGAGAAGATGGGGACAGATATTTCCATACTGTGTGCTGCTAATGAATCCTATTTTAGTGCTTGTCACAGTGGGGTTTATATCACAAAAAATACACATAGGGCATTTAATTTTGGCAGCTTTCACAAAAATTATGGCAACAGTTGCTTGTGAAAATTTCCTTATGCATCAGTAGACACTAAACCTTAGAAACTTCCTGGAAATAATCTACTCTGGGTTTAACATTGCTTTGATCTAAAATGCAGTTTTGTATAGTTTTGAAAATGTAAATTTTAAAACATGGACTAAAATCTCATGCTAGAAGTCTTATGTAATGGATATACAAATCAATACCATACATTTTACTAAATCTATATGTGTCAAGGCTGACTTATATAAAGTAGGAGAAATGTGACCCAACTTCAAGATACTAAAAGACGAAAGTAAACTATACAGAACTGTTTGGCTGCTTCGTACTAATATAATGAGTTAGAAAGTAATGATGTTTGCTATTCTTTATTGTTTACCTTTATTTAAAATCATTTAATAGATTTTTCTCGATAAATTTGATTATTCACAATTGGCAATTAAAGAGCATTAAAGAAACGGTATCCTTTTATACTTTTCCCTTACAGTACATAACCATAGGCATAAACAATTGTCCTTAATATATGATCCAGAATGTAATTTGCAATTTATGCTTTGGTTTATTTTCAGCCTTTTGCTAAGATTGTACCTGATATATTTCATTATTCTGTTTTAAGAAATGTATCAACATCAAGATATGGTGAGTTCTTTTAAAGTTAACATCAGCAATGATAAGATACAAAACACTAATTTATTATGAACCTAACCAATATGAAAAACATCTCTAACAAGCAGATATGTGTATACAGATATACATATATGTATGTACATGTGTGTGTGTGTGTGTACACACATACATGTATGAAAAACAATATGTGCCTTTAAAAATATAGAACAATCATTCTGGATCAATAGTTAAATTAGTACTTTAATTGTGTCAAATTGGGCTTGGAATATTTTTCATCTGATCTTCCCCCAAAAGGCTCCATTCACTTAATTTTAATTTATGCAAATAAGTACACAAATCAAAAGTTAAAGTGAATGTTTTGTGCCTTGATAATATGCCTTAAAGAGGGAAGGCATTAATCCACAGAGAAGTAATAAATCCTCTCTTCCCTTACCTCTAGTACCTCTAGGCTGGTCAAACTCTAACCATTATTAGTATTGTTTCAAGTTTCTTCTGTTTACTTTCATTAAACCGGGTTATTTATGTATCTTCAAGTGAAATGGCTGAGCTTTCACGGTAATTCTTGTTGCTATTGACAACCAAAGCAGCCATGCAAGAAGAAAATGCTGTGGAAGGAAAGAAAAAACAAACCTTAATATTTCCTCCCAAAGTTGGAGAGAGAAGGGAACACAAACTATGTAAGAAACAGGTAAGTAAAGATCTATCAATGTAAAAACTATCAGCCTTGGTTACTAATTGATTCACAGTTTTAATTTTTTTCAGATATTTTGTCCAACACTCATTAAATAAAAGGATACTGTCTCTTGGGACCAAAAATTAATATTCTGAAAATGAAAAATTGGATTGGAAGGTACAGTGCTATCAGCGGTCTGAAATCTTCTAATTTAGAATTTGGACTGTGAAAGAATAGCACAACTTCACTTGGTTAATATTTTTGTTACAAAATGTTTCTTAATGACAAAATGGTGACTAAAATATTACTATTTTAAACATGTCCTAGATTTTTTTTTGTTTCAGAAAAGCACTGAGAGTTGAATATGTGTAAGTCTCCGGGAATGTAACAAGTTGCTAAATACCCAAGTCCAGCCTCCTTACAGAGAAAAGATCTGGAATTTCTTTTTTTGGACATTTGTTTTGCAGCTTTCTACGTCTTAAGGCAGAGAATAGCCAGGATAAGGTGCCAGCTCAAAGGTTAGATGAACATATTTCTTGAAATAATTTTGGCTAATCTATGTCTTGAAAGGCATAACCTCTAAGTAATAACTTTACAGTAAAAGCTATCAATAAAAATTAACCTTAGCTGTGATTTTGAGTTGCCTTTTTTGGGGAAGACTATATTTTTTTTAGAGATATGCTTATTCTGTTCATAATTATGTAAGTATATTTTATGTTAGTTATTACATTAAACTTCCCTTTCAGTTTATAATTCTTTTCTCCTGTCTTATGAATCTAATAAATTGACCTCCATTCTAACTTAAAGGACAGTTTATATTTTTAATACTTAAAGAAGCCAAAAAAAAGTCCACCAAATGAAATTACTAACACCAGCCTATCATTAACCTGAGGTAATTGTATCTCATATTCATTAATTCTCCATGGAAGAATTCAGGTAAGAAATATTTTTATTGTATAACATATAAAAGATGTTGTAATAGGACCTAACAGTATTCATGTTATTGTTTTGGTACAAAAAACGGTTCCTCATTTAAAATATTTTTGGAAGTGAATAATGTCACTCAACAAATCACCCTTATTACACTTTAGTGGAAAATTTTGGTCAAATAGGTGAAATTCTCTTTAGTGGAATTGGGGCCCAGAAGGCAATGTACTTTAAACCAATAGATAAAGATACTATCACATTTCATAGAAAGTGTTTTTAAGAAGACAATTTTAATAAAAACATTTGGAGGAAAAATTGATAGTGCTAGAAGTAAAAGTTAAAGAATTTCTTTGTTCAGGGAGACTTAAAAAAAATCACAAGGTGTGTATTTTATAGTTAATAAGAGTTAATAGGTTTAACTAGCAGAGCTATGGCTTAGGTTAAGGAAGCAGTGCAGGAGAAAGTACAGTTGAGCCTTGAACAATAGAGGTTTGAGTGCATGGATTTTTTAAACAAATACAGTACAGTACTATAAATGTATTCTCCTTACTTTCTTAATAACATTTTCTTTTCCCTAGCTTGCTTTACTTTAAGAATACAGCATGTTAATATATATAGCATAAAATATGTGTTAATCAACTGTTATCGGTAAGGCTTCCAGTCGAAAATGGGCTATCGGTAGTTAAGTTTTGGGGAAGTCAAAAGTTATATGTAGATTTTTGAGTGCAAGGGGGTTAGCACCCCTAACCCCCATGTTGTTCAAGATTCAACTGTAGAATGTGGGCTTTGTCACCAACAGACCTAGGTTCAGGACCTATTCCTGTGACTTACCAACTATAAGATAGTAGACTTTTTATTTAACTTCTCTGAGCCACAATTTCCTAATCTTTAGGAAAGTGACATTGCAAAATTGTCACTGGCTATGGGTGCCTCATACAGAAAATTTCTTGGTAAATGTTTGCTATTATTTGCGTGTGGTCAGGATATAAAATATATAGAGAACGCAGTATTTAACAATATATAGAATACTTTGAACACCCTAGTGTTTGACTAGGGTCCTTCCTAATATCCGTGGATTAGCATATTTTTAAATGTTTGTTTTTATGCCCATCTTTTGAAAGTAGATTTCTCACATTATTCATTTCTAAAATAAAATTTTCATCAAATAACTGCCTGTGTTTCTGAACCATTTCTTTCCCACGTCTCTAATAATAATCCATTTGCAAACCTCAGAGTGGAGTATGGATTTGGCTAGCTAACCAAAGGAAATGGAACTGGAAGAAACTAGAATTCAATTGTAGAATTACATTTAGAGTTACTGTGATTTATTTGACAAACATTTGAGAACTTACCAGAAGCAAGGAGCTAAGTTAGGTGCTGGGAGACATAGAAAGATTAGTAAAACATACTCTTGTTTGTGAGGAGGTAATTTGGTAAGATGATTATCTCTTATTCCTGCTAGGATTCTAAAGTAGGAAAGAGGGACAAGGAGTTGAGGTTGTTCAGAGGAAGAGACACTTCTTGCTGGAGATGATCCAGGAAGATTTTATGGACTGGGTGGTATTTAATTGATTCATTCATTGTACAGATCTACACTGAATACTAACCTGCTTGATGTCTACTACAGATATCATTCCAATAAAATGAAGCTCTAGGCATCCATGTTGTTCATTGTCAGTGTTGAAGCTGCACATATTGGGACAATACTGGGTGAGAGAGGTGTGTTTTGATATAAGGTACAGCAAAAGCATATCTCAGGGGTCAGGCTTCCAGCCCAGGAGTAATGGAGTGGTGGCCTCACTAAATCCTGAGGGTAAGTAAGGTCATCATGATCTGACAGAAAAATGCATTGAAGCTTTAGAAACCACCTTCTAGGAAATGTAACCACCTTACTCTGGCTTCAGGGTATGTGTTTGAAGGCCATCAGATAAGAGATGCAGTGGGAGAAGTAGCAATGGACTGATTCATGGAAGGCCTCTGATGTTGTCTTAGATTATAGCCTTTGTCCCAAAGTTGTAATGGAACATTGTAATGATGTTAAGCAAGAAAATTACATAGTCAGATTTATATTTCAGAGGTTATGAGCTGTGCTAATAGGTCAGATCTAGCATACAGTTGAATTTGGTTTCCCTGACAGAGTATTTTAACATTTCTTGAAATAGTTGCCAGTGTTTCACAAGAATAATAGATATCAGCATCAGGCTTTGTTGAAAAGTCTGAAGATGTGTATTGCTGCAGGGAATCGGTGGACTGGGGTTCCATAGTGGCTGTCCTTTTTGGGAAAAGCATGTACTCTATTTTGCCACGTGACTTACTCCTTCAGGGCAAATGTCTGGGGGTCCTCTATAGGTATTTGAGGTTCTGGGGCTAGTTTCTGAATGTTTTCCTGATTGGCAATTTAGAGAACAACCATTTGAGGTTCAGGATTAGAGGCTATTACGGTAAATTTGGTGAGCAATTAGGTTTTGTCGTTAGTGGTGGTGAGAACACAGAGAAGGCTTGGGATTGAAAGATAGTTTTTAAAAGGGACGGAGAGGCATGTAGCATTAGTACAATGGTGAGGAGCTGGGGCTTTGCAGACACCCACTGGTTGTGTGGCAGCTGCCACCACTATGAGCTGTGTTTTTCAGAAACCTACTTCACCTCTCTGAATAATCGCATCTTTTTTGCCAAAGTATAGGTAAGAGCCCTACCTCATAAATTTTTATGAGGATCAAATGAAAAAATACTTACAAAGCACTTGGCTCAGTAACTGGCACATGTTAATTCACATTCAGTAAAATGGTGGCTGATGTTGGCTGGTTGTGAGGAATGCAGAAGATGGAATCAAGGATGATGCCCGTTTCTGGTGTGTTACTCCATGACCTAGAGAACATTGAGGAAAGTGCAGATGATGACTTCCTTGTTCAATGTGCTGTGTTTGGAGGGTTTGGTGAGACTTTGCAGTAGAGGGTGTGGTATGCGATTGGACTCCAAACCTGGAGCTCAGTGGGGAGATCTGAGCAGGGCCCAGGCTGTGATTTGATGATTTCGTCACCAGAGTCCTACACAAAGCTTCCCTCCCCTCCACTGGCTTCTTCTGTCAGCATTGACAATCTTCACTACTGTGTCCATAGAGGGTCAACTTAAATGGTGTATGAAGAATGTAGGAGAGGGAAAATAGTACGTTACATGTTGGCTGAAATGTTATCTAGTTTTAAGTTTTTGAAAACCATTTTTCAGTTTTGGCTGGGGAAAAAAAATCACCTTGTACAATTGTTATATCCTTTTTTCCCCTTTTTGGTTGGCTTTTTCTGTTTTACATCACAGTGACTCCTAATTCCAAGCAAATATTCAATTTGCTAAAAGTGAACCATTGTTAGAAATAAATGGCCATGCTTATTTTGGAAGTTTGTATTCTTTCTTAATTCTTGTTTTCTTCAAAAACATACTGAAAACCAGACCTGCCTCAATTTCTGGCTTAGATGCTACCTTCTCTTCTCTGCCTTCTTTACCTCAGCAGTGGGAAGGCTCCTTTTCTTTCTGTGCATTTAGTGTAACGTGTGCCTGGAGCCTGTCTCATACCACCCTGACCTGTGGTTGTGTGTGGATCTGTGTCATTCATTCTGCCAGACTTTTAGTTCCAAGAAGCTATCCAAGAAGCTACTGTCTGCATCTTATACATTTCTATATCCAGTGCAGTAATTTCCACCGTGTATTGTCCAGTTCAGCTCAGCTCGGCACCCTTGTGAAGGTATAAGGACCAGACACCTCTGTATACAAGGGACAAAAAGATACACAGGACATAATCTTAACCAGAGTATGGTTTTCAGGAAGGACAATTACTGGGAAAATGAATATATTGAATTTGCCTATCTTATGACCTTGTTACATATTGTAGATCTTCACTCTTTGTTAAGGTTCCAAAAAGAAAGTGAAAACACATAAAATATAGTCTCTTTGTAGCATCTGTTGTTTACAATCCACTGATTGTTTGCAATTATGGATGGATTCCTGATTCTTTGAGTAGAAGGCCCTCCAGGCTGACAACTGCCTTAACTTTGAAGGGCTATTTTCCACTATATAGGCACTGTCAGAGTGGACCGCTATTGTATTTCCAGACTGTCTTCTGCCTCATGTATCTCTGGATTTTCTTATGCTGCTTGCTCTGCATGAAAGGCACTTCACCCATCCATGTGGTGAATTCCTACTCATCCTTTAAGATTCAGTTCACACTTCCTCTTGTAAGATTTTCCTGACAGTTTTTGCTATCCCTCCCTCTTTACAGAGAAATTCCTTTTTTTCTGTATTCTCTTAACATCTTGTACACCTGTCATATCCATCTTTGTTAGGAGACCGTATGCTATTTCAGAGAAGGTATTGTGTATTTAAAGAGCTCAAAGTCTAATGGAACTAGATGAGAAAACTAACTAATGATATATAAATAACTTATGATAGAGTTATGCACAGAGGCTTATGAAAACACTGAGAAGGGCTCCAGACTCAGAATGAGGGTCTAAAGCAAATCTTGGAGATGGTAATGTTTAATCTGAGGAGTATTGAAGCCTGAATAGATATTGGTCCAGCAGACAATGGAAAGAAGGACATTGCG